AGCGGCATATCATTCAAAAGTTTGATTACGGTTGCAGTTGTGCACAGTCGCAATATAAAATTTCTATCAAGTTCATCACCATCCGTTAAAACCTTTTCACTTTAAGGACGTCGACGAAGGACCTTCATCATCAAGAAATGGTCATCGTCGTAAACGTATTCATTTAACATCAAACGACAGTGATGAAGAAGAAGTGAAGAAATCTCGAAAAAGTTGGATTGCGTTATTTTTATTTATATTCCTTTTTATTGATTACATCTACTCTAGTCATAGTTTTGCGATTCATTATTGAACGTCGATTCTTTGAAAGACTTTTTATCATTATACAATGGATGGTACTTATAATATCAATGACGAAGTCGTTGTGGTCGTTTAAAAATTTCGTTGTGATTGAATGGTCTCTGGGAATAACAGACGAGGAGCGTTTAAGATAAGAACAACTCTTTTGTACGATTGCCGTGAATGGCAATCATAAAACTGTGAATGTTGAGTCACTTTCAGTTCCTTCAGATTCGAGTTCAACTTTTCGTTCTAGATGTCAATCAATTAGCTTTAAACTGAAGTGAAATAGTTTTGGTTGGTTCGATTGTTGAAATGTTACCAAATATAAATTGTTTCTATTCAAGCTGCTGAGGATGTGCCCGATATCGATGCGATGGTGTGTGGAGTTAGTAAGGCGACCACTGTTGATCAAGACGAATGGCGTAGTTGTTTGGGTGTTGCTGATGGCAAAGGGCGTAAAATATCGTTGGTTTTAAGGTTGCCGGATGGTAATAGGCAAACTGTTGAGATGGAAGATACCACACCGATAAGAGTCAGTTGCCTCTCTAGTGTCATTTTCTTTACTTGCAGTTTTTTAAATGTTTGCATTATTTTGCGTTGCAGGCCGTATTCCTGCTGATCGCAGGTCTGGGTTTCTCACCGTGTGAGCATCATCTTGTATTGTCGTATCCAAAACGTGAGTACTCATTTGAGGACGCTGATCGCAGTTTACGTGAATTACAACTGAATAAGCGTGAATTAATTCACGTTGAATTAAAATGAATAATTGTTTGACATATTTTACAATAATACATTGTGATGTTGTTACATATGTCTTTTGAGAACTAACTGAACGTGCTCACAATTGAAATTGAATCCAGTGACTAGAATTATGGTTGTAAGTCGGAATTCATTTCTTTGTTCTAGCATATTTTGAAACAAATTCGGCGTATGAGAATGAATTCTGAACGCTGTTTATGAAATAATATTTCGTCTCATTTGCACTTGTTTGGAAAACATTTCTCTCAAAAGCCGTCTAAATCTATTGTTACCCGCTTTGCTACTCATATAAGGCGCTAAAAATTTTCGGTTACACGGGATTCAATTAGTTGACTATTTAAAAGTTTAGAAAAAATGGACAAACTGACAAGTTTATGGTGTTACCGCTTTGATATACGATTGGGTTTTTAATGTCATATTTATTTGATTATTTATTTCTTGAATCATCTCGTTCATTCATTTCCTCATTCACTGAAAATGTTTAATATGTTCTTTGGTGGCTGGTGTCATGTGATACTTGTTCAACACACTGACATTTGCATCGTTGACCCTTTTATGAAATTTCTGTGAAATGCACAAGTAAATGAATGCACAAATAAGTGCTGGTTGTTTTGTTGCGTTCGATAAGTGTCCAGAGAAATTCACCGTTTTTAAGGTGAGCGCATAACTCTATGAGAGCTTAAAGTATGCACTGTGCAGTTGTTACATTTGCTGAGTGTTCGTTGTCTGGAGTATTCGATATTTTGAAATCAGTTGTAAAAGATGACTATCTTGTTTTCAACAATTCACTTCAGAGCTCTGAAGGTTT